TGGTTTGGACTTAGTCATTCCGTTGGAGATCCTCTCGGATATGGAGACCCTCTGCGGAGCGGTCTTGGGACAACTGCATGCTGATAATACTGCCCTGATTAGTCTGGTGCGCGGGCAGTGAGATTTGGTTTCTCGGGCATATCTCTTCCGAGACTCGTTCATACCTCCCGCCCGATAGTACAACTCATCGGTCAGATGACCGGAGCAACCTATCGTGTGTTGACATGACTCCCCTGGTATAACGTTATCATCGTCAGATGAATACGTTTCTTTCAGGGGATTTGTCGCTTTATTAGCATTCTTAAGAGTCACGTGTTTAGAACTACGCTTTTGGGAGCGCAGGATCTCAACAGGCTCTTGGTTTTGGATAAACACCCCCAGGCGGGTAGAAATTGGAGTTTTCCCTTTATGAGAAGGCTTGAAATTGTTGCGAGGGCGTGTGCGACCCCCAGCTCGACGAGTCGCTCGGGGTTCAGTCACCGGACCCAAGCGTTCTTCGATCAGAACTTTGCCTCGATCCTCGTGCAAAGGACCCAGGCGATCGACTATCCTCACCTTGAATCGGGACAAATCCATGTTGTCGTGGGGCTCCACCAGAGGTGCGGAACTCGAAGGGATCGACGAAACAGGTGTAGAACATCTTCTGCCTTGACTCTGGCGCAGGTCAGATTTAAGTGACCGACAGGTTGGAGGGTCGGATTCAAGTGACCCGCAAAGTGGAGGGTCGGACCCAAGTGACCCGCGATTTGGAGGGTCGGATTTGGGCGACCTGCAGATTGGCGGATCGGATTTGAGTGACCTGCAGATTGGCGGGTCGGATTTGAGTGACCCCGCCGCGGGTCGGACTTGGCCGACCCGCGCCGCCGCGGGTCGGACTTGGCCGACCCGCGCCGCCGCGGGTCGGACTTGGCCGACCCGCGCCGCCGCGGGTCGGACTTGGCCGACCCGCGCCGCCGCGGGTCGGACTTGGCCGACCCGCGCCGCCGCGGGTCGGACTTGGCCGACCCGCGCCGCCGCGGGTCGGACTTGGCCGACCCGCGCCGCCGCGGGTCGGACTTGGCCGACCCGCGCCGCCGCGGGTCGGACTTGGCCGACCCGCGCCGCCGCGGGTCGGACTTGGCCGACCCGCGCCGCCGCGGGTCGGACTTGGCCGACCCGCGCCGCCGCGGGTCGGACTTGGCCGACCCGCGCCGCCGCGGGTCGGACTTGGCCGACCCGCGCCGCCGCGGGTCGGACTTGGCCGACCCGCGCCGCCGCGGGTCGGACTTGGCCGACCCGCGCCGCCGCGGGTCGGACTTGGCCGACCCGCGCCGCCGCGGGTCGGACTTGGCCGACCCGCGCCGCCGCGGGTCGGACTTGGCCGACCCGCGCCGCCGCGGGTCGGACTTGGCCGACCCGCGCCGCCGCGGGTCGGACTTGGCCGACCCGCGCCGCCGCGGGTCGGACTTGGCCGACCCGCGCCGCCGCGGGTCGGACTTGGCCGACCCGCGCCGCCGCGGGTCGGACTTGGCCGACCCGCGCCGCCGCGGGTCGGACTTGGCCGACCCGCGCCGCCGCGGGTCGGACTTGGCCGACCCGCGCCGCCGCGGGTCGGACTTGGCCGACCCGCGCCGCCGCGGGTCGGACTTGGCCGACCCGCGCCGCCGCGGGTCGGACTTGGCCGACCCGCGCCGCCGCGGGTCGGACTTGGCCGACCCGCGCCGCCGCGGGTCGGACTTGGCCGACCCGCGCCGCCGCGGGTCGGACTTGGCCGACCCGCGCCGCCGCGGGTCGGACTTGGCCGACCCGCGCCGCCGCGGGTCGGACTTGGCCGACCCGCGCCGCCGCGGGTCGGACTTGGCCGACCCGCGCCGCCGCGGGTCGGACTTGGCCGACCCGCGCCGCCGCGGGTCGGACTTGGCCGACCCGCGCCGCCGCGGGTCGGACTTGGCCGACCCGCGCCGCCGCGGGTCGGACTTGGCCGACCCGCGCCGCCGCGGGTCGGACTTGGCCGACCCGCGCCGCCGCGGGTCGGACTTGGCCGACCCGCGCCGCCGCGGGTCGGACTTGGCCGACCCGCGCCGCCGCGGGTCGGACTTGGCCGACCCGCGCCGCCGCGGGTCGGACTTGGCCGACCCGCGCCGCCGCGGGTCGGACTTGGCCGACCCGCGCCGCCGCGGGTCGGACTTGGCCGACCCGCGCCGCCGCGGGTCGGACTTGGCCGACCCGCGCCGCCGCGGGTCGGACTTGGCCGACCCGCGCCGCCGCGGGTCGGACTTGGCCGACCCGCGCCGCCGCGGGTCGGACTTGGCCGACCCGCGCCGCCGCGGGTCGGACTTGGCCGACCCGCGCCGCCGCGGGTCGGACTTGGCCGACCCGCGCCGCCGCGGGTCGGACTTGGCCGACCCGCGCCGCCGCGGGTCGGACTTGGCCGACCCGCGTGGGCGCGGGTCGGCTTTGTCCGACCCGCGTGGGCGCGGGTCGGCTTTGTCCGACCCGCGCCGCCGCGGGTCGGACTTGGCCGACCCGCGTGGGCGCGGGTCGGCTTTGTCCGACCCGCGCCGCCGCGGGTCGGCTTTGTCCGACCCGCGCCGCCGCGGGTCGGCTTTGTCCGACCCGCGCCGCCGCGGGTCGGCTTTGTCCGACCCGCGCCGCCGCGGGTCGGCTTTGTCCGACCCGCGCCGCCGCGGGTCGGACTTGGCCGACCCGCGTGGGCGCGGGTCGGTTTGGTCCGTCTCGCGCGGCGCGCTGAGTTTCGCTGATTTCTTGTGTTTTTACGACTTTTCCGATCTTCCGGGACTTGTAGTTTCTCCCATTTTGTTTACTCATCCGTCGTGTTGACTTGTATGCTCCACGCGAGTTGATTAGTGTACGTTGATTAACGCCATCGTGAACTGACTGACGCGCGCACTGATTGACATGCACGAGCTGAATGATGCGTGCGTGTTAACTGACTGTTGGGTGCGTTTGTACGCTTTGAGTTGATTAACGCATGCGGTCCACTTGGTGTTTTCCATTGCGGTGGTTCGTTGTCGTGTCATCAACAGTTTGCCGATTCGCTTCATGCGCTTGTCGGCGTTGGATAATCCTCTTTGATTCGGATAACGGCGTTCATCACCTTCTCTTTGTCTTGAGCTGTGTGCGGGCACCCATAGGCATTTTTAGACGCCTACAAGGTGAAAATCTCAAAAAGTACTATTTCCTCCATTTCCATCCCTAAAACTCACCCACAACATCCAATAAAATATTATTTTCATCCAACAACTCATCCACATCATCTAATAAAATATTATTTTCATCTAACCACTCATCCATCACATCTAATAAAAAAAAACCAAGAAATGGAAATGGAAAAGGTGAAAATCTCAAAAAGTATTATTTCTTCCATTTCCATCCCTAAAACTCACCCACAACATCTAATAAAATATTATTTTTATCCAACAACTCATCCACATCATCTAATAAAATATTATTTTTATCTAACCACTCATCCATTACATCTAATAAAATATTATTTTCATCTAACCACTCATCCATCACATCTAATAAAATATTATTTTCATCTAACAACTCATCCATCACATCTAATAAAATATTATTTTCATCCAAACATCACTCAACTCATCTCTTCTCATCATTTCAAATCACTCACATCATCCAATAAAATATTATAACAATTCACCTCATCTCATTAACATTTCATTTCTTTGTTTTCATCCCAAAAAGTTGTGAAAACACTTTTCTTAATCTTGGATCACATCACCCAATAAAACAATGACAACTCATCTCATCTCATTTTATTTCTTATTTTTAAGAATGAACCAAACAAAAGAAAACAACAAACTACAGGAAATAGGTTTCTTATAATTCATTTCCTTATTTTTTTGGCCAACCAAACAACATCAAAACTAGTTTTCTTAAAAAATCACTCACATCATCCAATAATAATGTGACAACTAACATCATTTCATTTTCATTTTTTTGATTTCCTTCTTTTTTTAGCCAACCAAACACTCCCAAACCAATTCTTCATTTTAATAGTTTTCTATTTCTTTGATTTCCCTCTTTTTTTAGTAAAACAAACAGGCCTCAACCAAAAAGTCAAGACCAAAACATCAAATGGAATGTTTTATAAGTCATTCAGGGCTTTAAGTTGATACCCAAAACCTCAAAGCACTGTCCCTTAAGTCTGAGAACTGCGATGTTCCTACCAGTACCTCATTTGAATGTATTTGCATTTGTTTAGGGCTTGCGCAAAGCAACAGATAAAACCACATTAGTTATTACCTAAATTTTAGATGAAAGGTCATCCGCTTCAGACTAGCCACAGGGCTATGTTAGGGAGATTCATAATATAAACATAAACGCATATAGACCACAATGTAGGATATGCAAAGCAAAGAACTTATGCTAAGCTCTTTGATGCTATTGCAACATATATTATTATCTATAACGAGACTCATCTTTTGGCCGACCTATTACTCAATACTCACTACTCTTCTATGATCTAGGACAACGCTAGGAAGAGTAAATTTGAAAACTAATGAAAAGAACATCAAAACATGGACTGTGCTAAGCTTAGGAAAGACACATCTAGTCGAGTTTATGTTTCTTCTTCCATCAAAAAGAGACATGAATTTTATGGTTTAAAGTTCACAATTTGTAGAATCAATTGATGGGTATACTATTTTCAAAAGGACAATTAGATTTTAGGGAACAAGCCTACATAACTAGCTAGCATGACGCTCAGAAGAATAATAAGTTGAAAGCATGTAAAATTATCAGAGACAACTACTAAAAGCTGAAGAGACTCATAATTGCATGATAAATAAGGCAAACGTATGTTGTTGAGCATTGGAGGCCAGTAAATGCTTACCGTGTAAATTAAGCTTGGTAGTAGAGCTCTCCTTCGCTGTTACATCTCAAATTTGCATTTGACCAGCATAAGCAGCAAGATAGATATCATGGATGTTTTGGTACTTTTTCCTTGTTACGGAGAAGAATATTTAGCAAGAAATTCTTGTCGGAGAAGGGCATGACGTACCAAAGGCTCCGTGTATGAACAATTTCATTCGACTTCAAGAGCTGCAGCAGCACGTGATACCGGGGCTTCAACCTCGTCTCCAAACTGAGCGTCAAGAGCAAGGGGCTCGAAGAAATGTACGACTGCTCGCACCCTGCTTCCTTCACCAGGAAATCCATCTTCGCGTGTACATTCTCCTTTGAGAGATGGATGAAGTAAGGGGGCTTTCTTAAATGCAGAAAGAAACCCCTCCTGCGACCACCCGAACCCCCTAAAGAATTCCATCTTCTCTTCAAACCTACTCGTTCAAACATCGGAGACTTCACATCAAACCCTAATTCCTGTACTTTCCTCAACAATGCCTCAGTTGATTCTAAGCTCCATCTAATAAAACCACGACCCCTCCTCAAAATGTGAACAATTTCCGTCCCAGAGATGCCGTATTCCTTCAGAAGGGCGACCTTTGGGGCAACCGATGGTTCTAAGTCTCGGGCAATGAAACCCCGGTTCCTACTAATAACCAACACGAGGGGGATCGCCGAAGGGTTAACAAGGACAGAGGGGTGGGACGTGAAGAGCAGCGGGAGCTCTTCTTTGCCGAAACCCATTGCACGAAGAGTTTGCCATTGGGCTCCGAGGTTTTGTCAACGTCAGCTTGGAGAATGCAGGGGTAGTTGGAGATGAGGCCGCGGATGTGGGTGCCAGTGAGGCCGCCATGGTGTTTGAAGAAATGCCTCACAGAGTCGGCACGGTCGATGGAGGTCGACTTGGAGATTTGTTTGAGGACTATGGATGCATTTTGTGAGGAGAGCCCACATGGCTTTATTAGGTATTCCGTATTCGGATATGTGGTTGGATTGTGGAGATTCGGTGTTTAGGGTTTTAGAGGCGGATGATGATGAAGAAGAACAAGACAAGCGAAGGAGATGGGCAGTTTTAGGAAAAAGGACACAAATGTTCTTCTTAGTAGGAAGCTGCAACATGTCGTTAATACTAATAACGTAAGTATTTGTTTGTAAAAAATAGATAGTCCCACATGGGATATTTGAGCATTTTTTTAGAGGTTTAAAAGCAGTTAATGATTATTGGGCTTTGATAAATAAATCAAATTACAAGCTTCTGAGCCCGCGTGCGGGTAGCTCAACTAACTTATATATATATTGAATATATTATTTTTAATGTTATTTTGAATTTTGAAAATATGAACAGACAAGTGGTTGTTGAAAAGTGTCTGTTTGTTCCAATGGGTGTTCTGAAAAGTTATGACCGTTAGAATCACATTTTCAAACCTATAAATAGTTTATGATTTTAGATATTTTAACTACACTTTTCTTTTCTAAAACTTTTCTGTCAAAAACATCTACAATACTACAAACTTGTTTCACAACGAATTAGTTTATGATTTTTCCCGATGTTTTTTAAACTTTTACCGACGTTTTTGTTTCATTGGCAATGTTGTATTTTGTTGTAGTGAAAGAAAAAAGTTGTAGGTCTCTTCAATATCTTTCCAACGCATCTTAAATCACATATTTTCAAGGTCGGAGAAAAAAAAGTTACAACCAAAATACTGAATACTATTTTTCCTAGTCCTATTTGAATTCGGGTATGTTTAGTTTGTTTCGGATTTGCCTATATGTATGGATATATTACATGAAAAGTTTACTTTTATATCATATCTCTAAACCATAGTAGTTCCCTTTCCTCTTAAAAATCCTAAAGCTCTTTTTGGTGAATTTTGAGAGTTTTGTGAAGCAAAATACCGAGAGAAGGGCGAGATCGTCGGCATTTGGCAAAGAAGGATCCTTTTTGTCACGTATTTGGGAGTTCATCTCGAGTTTTGAGGCGAGTTTCATCTCCTCTAATCACATCCCCATTTTTAATTAATTTATTGAGTTTTATTTGGTTTTATTTGGCCTTAAACCCTAGTTTAAGTATAACGACGACTCTTCTAAAGTATATATGTGAATATATGCAAGCAAGACAAATGTAATCATAACTAGATTAGCACAAATAAGATAACTTG